GCGTCATTTGTCTAAGTACGGTAATTACTTCGATTTCAGAAATTAGTTTTTCAACTATGTGTTTTTTCTAAAAGCTCTTTATTTGTAAGTATGATACAATGAACCTGCCAGCAAATTGCTTTTTCCGACAGAAGTTTTAGTCGTGAATGGTTTTTTACAGTTGACCAAATTAGTTTAGTACGTAGATTCTCGACAGTACCGTGACGTTAGTTTGTTGACACATGTACGGTCATACTCGGAAAGTCGGAAACTCCTTGTTGGAACTAGCTGAAAATAACTGAAAGAGTATATATATATACAGGGAGGCGCATCGAAAACGAAACAGACGCATTTACTGGCAGCTCAGTCTTTTTTTTGGAAAAACGCTCAGGCCCGTCGATTTTGTTTTCGAGGGGGACACAAGTTTGGCAAAAAATCACGTTAGCACGTGCAGCCCTCTAAGCGGGGGTGACACCACCCCCAAAATCTTAAATGGAAAGGGGGGTCGAGTGATACCTTATTTTAAACGTCTTTCAGTTCCCTTTATAATGATATAAAATTAATGTACTTCAGTTCAGTAGTTTTGAAGATTTATTGATTTAAAGCTTAAATAAAACTAATACATCATCATTAGTGGAGATCAATACATTTGGCAGCAAAGTAATTTCAAAATGAAGAATGAACTGACCCGTTAGGCAAGTAAATGACTCTCCATGCAATAATAAAGATTTTGCTCAAAACGTAGTCGCACATTTTGCAATATTTGAGGAGTAAGTTGAAGGCACTCATTCACAATTCTTTGTCGCAGGTCTTCTAATGATGTTGGCTGAGTAGCATAGATTTTGCTATTTAAATGACCCCACATAAAGAAATCCAAAGGTGATAAATCTGGCGATCTTGGGGGCCTCTTCTACCAATCCATCGATCTGGAAACGTCTGATCTAAATATTGTCGAACACGTAATGCGTAATGTGGTGGGGCACCATCCTGTTGGAACATCAACCTACTCGCAATGTACCGCCGATCATTCTGATTTTCAATTATGGCTGTTAATGCAGGATCTATGGCGTCTTCCAAATACATTTCACCGGTTAAATCTCCAGGTAAGAAAAGAGGACCAACTAAATGATCGCCAAAAATACTAGCCCAAACATTTAATTTTTGTGGCTGCTGTGTATGAACCTCATGATAAATTCTGGGATTAGAATCGGACCAATATCCCATTATTTTCCTACTTGTTGTTATATACCTTTCTCCGCATGATCATATTCTCTTTGTAGATCCTTTGGGCTTGAAGTACCACAGCAAGTGGCTATAACCGGTCGCGTGGTGGTGGTTAGACGTCTCCTTGAAAATTCGAGGTCGTATAGCCATTTTATACTACAATGTGTAGGTTGGCTCTTGTTGTGGACTTCGTGTGTCGTTTTTTTTTCCTCCAACTTCGTTTCCTCAGGTTACACCCGTATCCGGATGTGTGGGTATGTGTATCTACTTTTGTAGTTTCATATGTGCATTCATTTCGGGCCTGATGAAGCCAACCAGCAGAAATACGTATCGCTCGGGTTACCTGTCCTATTTTCTGCTCGAATCCACTTTCCTCCTTTTTGCGGATTTTGCCCATTATTTTCCTACTTGTTGTTATATACCTTTCTCCGCAAGATCATATTCTCTATGTATATATATATATATATATAAAATATAAACTGCTTATTCCAATCGTTGGATCCTGAAAAAAATAGTTTTTCAAATCCTTTATGAAGACTAGCTTGCTGGGACCAACATTTCCACATGGTGCTGCTGAAGGTGAAAACAAAATAGCAATTTGGATTAAATTTGAGGTCCTGGTGATTGACGTTTCTCCTACTTGGTACGTAGTACAATTTGTTGTAAGAAGTTTTACAGTAGATAAAACACAGGAGAAGTCATGACTACTTATACAGAGTAGCCACTCGATGTCAATATCGGTTTGCGATGTTCCTGTATTTAAAATTTAACTGTGAAACTTTGTATAACATTATATGAAGATTGAGATCAACCTAGCCAGAACCGAACCTAACAAGTTAACTGTAAGAAATTGGTTATCTATTGATTATTTATATTCGCAATCTGTTTTTCACCGAAATTGTCATTGTATTTTCTAAGCTGCATGATTTTCAGTTCCTGGGAGTAGCTTAAGCATCACTAATTTTTCTGTTTCATCATTTATAAAATGTTTATAGATGAATAAAAACTTCAAGAAGAAGACAATAACTATAAAAACGATATACGCATTTGGTTTATCATATGCGTACCTACACGGCCATGTTGTACTGTACATAAAAGGAATTTTAAAATGAGAGATTTTATTGCAGTGCGGAATGAATATAAAAATACTTATAGGTCAGTCGCAACAGAGACTGCGAAAGTAACCGATTGATTCAATGACTGCATTTAGGTAGCGACAGTTAGGCAGCCCTTGATGTTACTGTCAGTTTACCTGTTCCGTCAGTGGCCATGTTTGCACCGTCGGTCTGGAATATAGCGACGGTGTAAATGAGCACATTAGTATTTATGCACAGAATTGTAGTGCTCCGTAAATAACTAAGCGCTTGCCAACTGATCATTAATGCTTGGTCGTGGCAACTTAATGTTCTAATTTATTTTAGTATTATCTTTGATTTCGACCGATGGTGATAAAACCAACACATCCTGAGTTATTGTTACATTTTACAACAACGAGCAGACTAAAATCGCTCATCTATGATCATGAAGGTAGAAACCTTGCATTGGAATGTACGAGATGCGGTGTTGCCAAGCGAACCAATGATACAATGTTGCAGAATTTGTAGCGATCTTAACCTTTCATTTCTGACCTAAAATGGAGTGCCGTTGGGACCGATACGTAATCGATCCTAAACAGATTCGATGCAATTCACAATTCAAAAATGTGTACGCTCAAAATAAAACCATTATTTAGGCGTGGACCGTAGGAAACAAACTAACGCATACTTTCAACATGCATCTTAATTCAAGGAATTGGTGTAACATATTGGCAACTCGGCAGATTGCCGCGTCAGCATTGCTAGGCAACGCGGTGATGAGCTTCGCTATCCAGCCGGCTTCTACCTCTTTCTAACATATTTGTCTATACACACTTCTCTCTTGTACACGTTGAACTCAAACTGTCAGACAAATTTGGTTTTCAGTGTATGAACAAACACAGCATCCATGACTCGAAATGTAACTTTCGAGGCCAGGTGGCGACCCCATAAGCTGTCGAGTCGATGTGCTAGTAGCTCGACGCCGCAACACACCTGTGAACCCAGCCCCCGGCAATCCGATGCTTTTGATTTGATATTTGACACTGACATTGAATGCTACCGTGCTGGGGTGCGTTTGTTAATCACTTGGTAATGGAATTTAGGTTAACAGATGAAAATTTACTCTGGAATATCGTGTAACTTTATTCTTAGAATACCTAAATTATTAGAGCCATTTAATAACACTTGATGATAGCCCACTAATTTCTAACCACATTTTCTGCGATCATGGTATTTATTGCAAGGAACGATATGGATACAATATAAAAATATATATTATGCCAATTTTTGATAACCAAATGAAGTAAACAAATAACGAATCATGAGAATGACAAGTGGCAACACTCTTATTCTCAAGGTTTTGAACACGGGAAGAAAAGTGCACTTTTGACATTCCAAAATACAGTAGCACAAAGTACACTCTGTAACAATTCATGAACCCAGCCCTTGTTGTTCCTCGAACTCAACCATGTATCGGCTATCCCTGAATGTATACAAACATTATTTACAGTTGTGAACCCAAAACGTCACAAAAGTGACCAATAAAATATGACATAGATTCTTAATGTTCTATATCAGAAATAAAGGTATTTGTTGCCAAACTTGTGTGTTTTACTCTCCTGTACTATGAGGAAACTAGTGATTCGAACCATTGTGTCTGTATCATTTGTATTCCTTGTGTGGCACCCGCGTTTAATTTCCGTAAACGCTAGAAATGAGATTATAATAGATGAATTTTCATCCACTTCGTGCAAAAAGATTTTTATCCAGATAAGTAACAATCATGTAGCAAAATTCTGATGACGTGACTAGTAATATTCCTATACATTTGTCTTGACAGATCCTGAAATATTTAGTGGCCTCCATATTCCACATGAATAGAAAATAGACGATATTATGAAATGTATTAATGTCTTGAATAATTTAGCATTCTTGTGCATGTAGATAATATCAGTGCTTTTCGAAGAGTATGGTGCATCTCCTATAGCACTCTAACTCTCTTTCTTGAAAGGGGTAATCTTTTACTTCCCATTGTGATCGTGGAAACTTTAAAAAATCAGATATGGTTCTTGGATGTCATATGAGATGTACAGACTGCGAAAATTAAAAGAACACAAAGTTAAAAATCGCTTTAAAATGAGCTAATCTTAAAATACTCTTTAGGGTCTTGCAGAGCAAGGTTTCAACTTTAATTTAGACACTTGTAAACCTCAAAAATTATAACTCTTATTTAGAAGTAGGTAATAAAAGTAGGGTCGCCCACTGTAGTTGGAATAGATTTTTGTTATCGATGCGAACTGGAAAACGTATTACTTGCTCTATATGCTAGGACGAGGAAGAAACAGCATTTGTCCTTCCTGGGTAAATGTAGTATCAAGGCCTTAAAGCGGATATATTAGGCATGACGGGATTTCGTTCAAAGATCTGGCAGATTCCACAAGTTTCAGCGTTAGATATGTTGTGTCGCTGGTAGATAGAATAATGTAATTTTCAAACAATTCAACATTAACTAGAGGGAAGTCGCTCACTTCATTATTTTTTTGACTACAGTTAGGTGCTTTTCTCCAAATGAGAACCTCAAACTACTTGAAGATTTTTTAGCTAGTACAGGCAGTATAAGCGTATGATTGTAAGGTAAAGTGTAAAAGTGAACGCATATTTGCGGACCCGTTGACCTCTTCACCTTGCCCTCGTTCTTCATTCACAAGGAAGATATTTAAAATGGAGGTTAGCATGCCGGTAAAAGTAAAATTGCGTCTCGTTACTTGTGGAATGTCCAAGAATATATATGGTACTTTGAAACATATCATGTAAACATGACCAGATGCAATTGTTCACTAGAAGTAAGTGAAAAGTGACGTACTCTTATAGGATACCAATTAAATGTATAGTAATATGTTTGTAATTCAAAAAGTTCAGCACCGTAAGGCAGCATTCGTGCAAAAAAGTTGACGATGAGTATGTTGACGCTTTACCTACGAAAGCATACTACGTAAACGTGTGAATGTAGAATAATATGAATTAGATTTTCGAGCTTCAAACTTTTCAAATGATAAAAAAATAAGTTGGAGAAGAATATATACAAGCATTGCCAAAAGTTGCTACAAATGTATCAACTGTTTTGAAACTAGATATAATATCAAGTTGAAGTACTTGAAGTAATTTTTGTATGAACTAACGGAAACCTAATAACTTCAAAAAATCGATAAGTTAAGTTTGCATCGATCTGTTAGGCACTTAGACATACTCGAAGTGCATCAGAAATCCAATTTGAAACTGCCATCAGCAGTAGTCTTAGTATCTATACGAGGGCGATTCAATAAGTACCCATCTTTCATGACAGAGGGCGTTCCTGAGGGAAGTTAATGTTATCATCGTGTGCTGCCATCTATCAAACGACGGCACAACAAATTTCAGTCTGATTGATAGGTTAGTTTGGATTTGGCAGCCATTCAAGTAACACGTGTTTCGTGATTTTCGCTAAGATGGAAAAAGAGCAGTATATGTTAGTTCGGTAATTTGCTTTTTGTTTTTGGATGGGAAAATGGCAGGAACGTTGGGAAAAGTGTTTCTTTCTAAAAGGGGATTATGTTGAAAAATAAAAAGAATTTTTTTGCTACATTACATTATCCTAACGATTCAATGCAATCTGACACAAAAGTTTCCACGATCGAAGATTCGTTAAAATCTCCACTGTGCTATAGTGTATACATAAGCGTGACCATGAACCTTACTATTGAAAATGACATTTTTACGATAACTTTGTACTAGTGTAAAATCAAGTGTCGTGTAACTCAAGTTGTCCATTAAATGTAATTGAGTAGCAGTTTGTATTACTGCAGTAATTGCTGCAATTTTTACTATTTACTCACACTGAATAACTGTTTGTGCTGTTAATCGTTTTTACACTTTTCTTAGAAATGCGTCCTACTTCCAACCATCTTGGGGCAGCTGGAGTAATTTCATTTAATTAACTTAATTTTTGTACTGTAACAGCCAGAAAGGCTTAGCCTGAATAGGTACTGAGGCACTACTGCGATTGCAATATCGTGTCAGTCACCCATATGCAATATTCTTCTCTGGGAGGCCATAGGATGAGAGGGCAGCATGCCACAGATGATCGAAGGCTTTCTGAAGTCAAGAGCAGGAAAATAAATATAAATGTTTGGAATTCTTAGTACTTATCAATCATTATTCCCTTGTTGTGAAGGGAAAGGGGAAAAATAAGAAAACGAGTGCATAACTTAGGGCCGTCTCGTCAGTCGTTCCTACAATTGTGACCTCTTTTTTTTCATAGTTTTCTACTATTCCGTGTCGGTGCTCTATTTGCATCAAATTGTTCGTGCTTTTGATTTATGTCGCCTGTTTTATCAGCCTGAAATTTCCTACAATTCAAAAAGAAAACACAACTTCACAATAGGGGAGCGGTGACGCTAACACAGACCAGGTGAAATCTAGACATACCCCAGCCTTCCTTAGGAAGAGAAATGACAATCAAGGAGGCCATGAGGGCGTCCTACAATTATTGTAGGACTGACGATACGGCTCTTAGGTGTCGAGACATGTGGATATTTTTAAAATACCCTCAAAAAAGCAATTGGGTGGTACCGCCTCGGAGAACTGGTCATTGTCTAACACCTTCTTTTCTTTTTTGTTTATTAATACTGTGAAATTTCCCGTTTCTAGTCTGTGTTATTTGGTCACTATCTAACATCATTTTTGGGTCATCTTAAGCGGTAATGCAACGTTGCCATTCATTAACTACGAGACCAGCACGTGTAAGAGATTGATGAAACTTGGATATTCGAATTACTGTATCTTACGATAGAGAATGGAAGGATAATATGGGTGACCACTAGTCTAAGTATACTAAGTGACATATAAATCCGAACACCCAGTTTAAATGGTTTTATTTTAATAAAAGTTGGTGAATGTATTTATCTTACTGTAAATAACAAATGAAAAAATTTTCAGCCTTATCAGTTGGACATTCCGGTTTTTATACTGCTTTTTTTTAATTCACTAACGCTCTAAAAATGAATATTTCAGCCGCAGTAAAGAATCAACGTTGGCGGATTTTGGTTCTTGACATCCTTTACGATCGGTTACGATGCCTAGAGTACGGAGACCTGTATGATTTCGTCAACTTAGTGAGTTTGATAGGGGCCGTATAGTGGGACTTCGGGAAGCTGGACTTTCTTTTCGGGCAATTGCAGTTAGAGTGCAAAGAAGTGTAGACACTGTGGTTAGGTGTTGTCAGGCATGGCTTCGAGAAGGCCGTACGCAAAGAGCAAGGGACACTGGACGCCATCGTAGAACAACAGACCGTGAAGATCGCCGCCTAAGATTATTGGCCTTAAGGGACCGTTTTTCCACTACCAGGTCCATTACAAATGAATGGTTTGCAGAACACGGAAGACCTATTGGCATGAGAAGTTTTGGCTTGTTTTCATACCGGCCACACTGGGTCCTCCCTTTAACTCGAGAACACCGACGTAATCGCCTTGAGTGGTGCAGACAACGGTCACTCTGGGATCAGGAATGGAACAGAGGTAACATGAACGCGCAGCGTTATATCCACGAAGTTCCCCCCCATCTTTTACTCTATCTTGACACCCTGGCAGATCCAACTTTCCAACAAGATAATGCCCGACCACATGTTGCAAGAGTCACAATAGACTTCTTTCAACATAATGATGTCACATTGTTACCAGGGCCACCAAGATCTCCCGACTTATCCCCAATTGAGCACGTGTGGGATATGATGGGTAGGAGATTGCTCAATTTGCAACGTCCTCCTCAGACTCTAGAAGCACTTCGAGAGGAGTTGGTGGTTGCCTGGAATGAGATACCACAGGAGGACGTTGACCACCTGATCAGAAGCATGCCTAGGCGCGTTGGAGAATGCGTAGCACATCAGGGTGCATCCACACATTATTAAAGGTCAAAGGGAAATCATTTTGAAATTTTTATCATTTACTTATTATGCTTCATTAAGTACTTATACAAAATTTTATTAAAATGAAACCATTTAAACTGGGTGTTCGGATTTATATGTCACTTAGTATAGTTGTTCGGCACTTTTGAGATACGTGTTGAAAAATAATTAAGACCTGTAAAATTGATCATAAATAGTTTTCAAATTGCGAATTATAATTGGCTTGAGAGCGTTTATAATACTTCAAAGAGTTTTAAATATTTCCATGGTCGAAGAGGTAATAACTTGAGTGGTTGCTTATATTTACATTTTTTACTCACATACGGAAGATAAGCGTAAACTTTGCCATTGTGACGATATCCACCTTTTTCATCAAGTATAATTCAACTTCCTTGACATTATCACGAATGGAACGTACAAGAAGATAACATAGTAACTATTTATAATTAAGCGGAAGAGTAATGGGAATTATGAGGGAGTACAAGATATATCGTGATGATGTCAGCATGATTGCATACTTTGGATATCCTTAGCTTTTTTTAGTGCCCAGAAATAACCTTTGGCAATAGTATAAAGTATCATCAAAATAAAATGTTGTTATTGTAATTGAATGGAACTAATTATTATGCAAATCTAATCCAAGCAACAGCAGTGTGAAGACTGATCACATTTACACAACGGGCAATAATGGAGGTAAAATAAATCTATGTAAACAAGGCGAGATCATCTATATTTTTTATTATTTGTAAATCAATGAATGATCACATCTTCCTTATCGTCGCACCCATATTTGTGACTCTCCTGGTATATTCTGAAAAAAAAAGGACACGACAGTTTTAATTTCTAGCCTAGAGGCACGTCATCTATAATCGTACAATACAGGGTAATCCAAAAATAAGATATATATTTTTTAATTCTTAGATTTTCCATGAAGTTTTTAGTAACTTTTGTATAATAAAGCTTATACTTATCTTCAATCGTTGTGAAGCTATTTGAGTTCATAATAAAAATCTATAAATTGTAATAATAAGGGATTGTATCGTAAAAATAATAATCAATATAGTAACAAGACATGAAAATTAAAAAGTCTCCAAGAATTAAGAAAACAACTTACAGCTTAAACGCACATTAAAGTTGAAGTAAAATTTAGTTTGCAATGAAGAGGTAGGTCAATGTGGTAAGTGCTGAAAGTGGTGTCCATTTACCTCCAGGCAATAATAAAGATTTTGTTCGAATCTATTTCTCACATTTTCAAGCATGTCTTGAGTTATTTGTCGACATTTAGCCGTAATCTGGCTTCGTACTAAAAACATTAGTTTTCAAATGCCCTCAAAGAAAGTAATCTAAAGGACTTAGGTCCGGAGATCTCGGCGGTCCCTCTATAGGGCCTCGTCTGTCGATCCAAAAACTGGAGCCATATAGTGCGGCGGTGCACCATCTAATTATACATTTCCGAAATTCGTGGCTCTATTGTATTGTCTAATATTCCAAGCACGTCTCGCCCGTCAAGTTTCCAGGAATAAAGAAAGGTCCTACAATATGATTTCCGAAAATGCCGACCCACACATTTATTTTTTCAGGATATTGGGAGTGTACCTCTCGATATAAATGTGGATTTGAGTCCCTGCAATATCGACAATTATGTCTATTTACAGCACCATGTAAATAGAACGTTTACTCATCCGAGAAACAGATATTAAGTAACAGATTAAGCTTATGAAGTTTTATCTTGTACGGGTGAAATATATTATCCTTAAAAATTCTTTCTACCGGTGAACGTGTAAATCCTGAAGAAGTAGCC